CTGAAGACAGAACCTTTACAAGACAAATTTGTTATCCTGTTTTGTTCTAAAATTCCTTGGTAAGGGCAGAAGTCACCTCATCTAAATTCCTAATCTGGTGAGAGTTTTCCAACTTTCATAATTAAAGTTTCTTTCTATCAAAAAACAATTTATCTTTTTTTTTCAAAAGTAGCTACCACTCAGCCTCGAGAGGAAACCGCAGCAGAACTGCAGCTCTGAGGTGACCCAGGCAGGCAGTGGCTGAGCTGTCAGACTCTGCTCCCTGACAGAACCCAGGGCTCTGTGCCCCTTGGTCTGCTCCATGCCCTGACGGGTCAGTGGGATCAGTCACCAGCTGTGCTTTCATAGCCACTCTCCCTCGCCTGTCTGTAACTTTGGATGGTGAAGAGAAACCATCCTGTGGCTGTGATGGTCCCTGCTAGTGAGAATGTTACAGGCACCCAAAACAGGAGCATTCAAATCAGCCAGCATGAACAAATCTATGTTTTTTTCTGAGGAAACAAATCACTCAAGTTATGCTTTTTTTCCCAAAGTAAGAGATTAGTGTAAAACACATATACACATATACCTATATGCAGTTAAAGGATTGTTTTCACTCTCTGCCTCAGGGCCCAGATCAGCACATATTATCTGTGCATGAACATAATTTCCATTTAATTTGAGCAAGAACTGTGAAACAGATAACTTTTCAGTTAGTTGGCTTAGTTTTCATGCATTTGTACAGCAATTTCAGTGTCTGTAAACTTAGGGTAAAGCAATAGGAGGACTGGTGGGAGCAATTAACTCAGTACTGTTGGCTTTTCTATGGCTAGACAGAGAACAAAACCAAACATTCATGTCTTTTCTGGGAGTTGAGAATAATGTATGTTGCTGGCCAATGTGCTAAAGGTTGTAATACAAACAAGACCCTCATCTAGGTTTGACAGCTACCTTAGAATTGTAAAACATTAAAGGTGTTACCTGTATGTAATGTTCAAATGGTTTATGACACTTCCAAGTCAGCTGGTAACAGTCAAATATATAGTTTTCTCTTACACAAATGCAACCACAAGCAAATTCTGAACTGAAGGTCCTGAATAGTTTGCAAAAATGCATTGTAAATGAAGATTATCTCTTTTCAAATACTCAGAGCATGCATTTTTTCCCCCGTTTTGTGAATACTTCACTCTTCCTGATACAGCATCCACCCACAGTGCTTTTCTTCTGAAGGGAACAAACAGCTGGCAAACACATGAATGTTATTCTGTTTAAAATTCTAGTTAAATTTAACCAGTTGCCTGTGCTCTCAGACAACTTCAGATGGAGAAATATAATGCTACCATACAGAGCTAATGCTGATTTTGAGGAGAAATTTTAAAAAAGAAGAGATTATTATTTTTTAAGTATTTGTAGTAACTTTCTAATTTTCCCACTAAAATAATGCCTCGAAGCTGCTGTTACTGTGGTAATAAACATATACATCAGTCATTTGAAGTGCTTTCCAAACAGTAACACACTGCTATTCAGAAAACAGAGCTACAAAACAGCTTAGTGATTTATCATAGAATCCTGGAATGGTTTGTGTTGGAAGGGGCCTTAAAGATCATCTAGTTCCAACCTTCCTACCATGGGCAGGGAGACCTTTCACTAGACCACTAGGTGAAACTTCAGATAAAGTCTCATTTCATATCTTAAATATCACTGACCTCTTCACTGCCGTGCCCTCACTGGCCATGATGACTTTTGGCCAAACCACACAATTTTGGTTTAAACAAAATTCTGTGCTATGTGACATGTGCCAGCACATCCACACTGCAGCACCCCTGGCTTTGATGTCGAGGGTCAAGAGCGGTTCTTTTTCTCATGGAACCCCACCAGGACAGTAAGACCATGGGGGATGCAGGAAAGGCCAAGTGCACAGCATATCTTGCACATGATGCTCGCTCTAGAAGGTGTTTGTGTGTCAGTGTGGGTTTGGAGCAGTGTCTCTTCTTTATTTCCAGGGCTAGGGTGCAATGTGTGTACTACACACTGGGTAGTTTCTGAATAGGTGATTTTCTCCAACACACACTCCTCTTATCAATCAGAACATTTGCTAGAGGATTCGCTTTGATTTACAGAAAATTGAATAAATCTGAGCAATCTTTCAGTTGCTCTGAAGAGGAGGCTACTCTTGGTATTTCTTAGAAGCCCTGTGAGTTAGTAGCTCACTAACTCTGTATGTGTTGTATGTTCTCGGGCCAGAAAACTCTCAAATGGGCAGCGTAGTTATTCACAGTACTAGAGAATCAGAATGAAGAGAGATAGACCTACCTTTATTAATTCAGGAAAAAAAAAAGAAACAAACTGATGCAGTATTTAAACCAGAAAATTGCTATAATGACAAATGACAACCCTGTAGCCTGCAAAATCTGCTAATAAAGTGTCTGCTGTGGCTGTTATTAAAACTAAACTTATGATCCATGATTATCTAACCATTAAACAGAAGTGGGGGTTGGATATAAAATGGATATCTGTGTCAGATGATATTTCAGTGCTGTGTGGAATGCGAAAATTATTCATCAAATTTGGTTTCTGATGACTCCCTTCTCTGAAGATTAGCCCCCTAAGGAGTTTACAGGCATTTAGAAAGATTCCTTCCTCCCTCCCTTTGTGTCCTTGTTCTCTTCAGTAATTACACTGTAAGCTTTCTTCAAGTTTAATTTGTAGACTTTTAAAAATGGCTTCTGTAGAACAGCTGTGCCATGGTGAGGTGTCTGACTGCAGAGCAGCTCTGCACTGCCAGGCAAGCATCCTTCCTATTTGTGTGGAATTATTTTTGTCCAGGCGAAATTTGCTGGACCTGTAACAGCAGTAGCATGGATCTCTCCATCAGTCAGGTTGTGTGGATATTTGCAAACTTTTGCCAGAGTTACACCAGCTGAAATAAAGTTAAGCAAAGAGCACATTCAACTGAGGTAGTAGTTGGCACATTAGACTTTCTTTTTGATTGATGTGTGATACATTTTTTGTTGTCAAGGAAATTGTTTACACCGTTTGACTAATGGGATGGATGGTCTGTTTGGGAGGGAATATAGACACATATGGCAATGCAAAAAGCTCTTGTTTTGCTGGATTGCTGCCCACATGCCAACAAAATGCTGCTTCAGTTCCAACCTCCACTGGCTCCACTGTAGCCAACAGGAACTCAAAATGGTGAAAGTCCTTATGGCAAGAGGGGAGCATTACTCACTGAGACCAGCAAGCCACATGACTCCCGTGCATTCTGCTTTTATTCCTCCTCCTGGAACGGGGTGAAGATCAATATATGTTCTGTTAATTCATGCATGGCTCCGCACCAGCTGATTCTGTTTTAGAGGCTGATGCTTTTCCCTGTGTTAGTAAATATCCCACTAGCAAGGGAATCCAGCACTGACCCTCAGATGATGAGGTTGCTAACATAAAATCAAATCCCTCTTCCACCAGTGTCTGAAAAAGTGTCATGTTAAGTACTAATTGCACACTATGAAAGTACTTGCAAGTGACAGGATAGGTAGCTTTTCTGCATAGCTCCAGGGCTTGCTGGAATGCTTAATATTTTAAAAAATACTGGAGAATGCTTTCTTTTTTCCCACTCCCTGAATCAGGAAAAACTTCTAAACTTCTGTAACCTGTCTCAGTGGCAGTGCCAGCTCTTTGCTGCTCTTAACCTTCTTTTAGTAGGGCAAATAGGAGGCTGGAGAGGGTTCTCACCAAACCAGTTTTGTTCTGCTGCAGACTTTTATCTGCTGAGACCTGAGGTGGCTTGACAGCTAACCTGAATAGTTTTGAGCATGTAACTTGGAGAAGAAGGTATCTGCATGTATTATACACCCTTGAACCATATAGATTTATTCTCCAATTTCTGTATAGCAATCATCCAAATTACAGAGCAAAAGGTTTTGTGAATGATGTGCAAAGTACAACCAGGATTCTTTTAAAAATCTAACAGTCAATAAAGTATTCATGCTTTCTGGAATGAAGTTGGGCCTTTATATATCATTGATCCTTTATTAATTTCATTTTAAATACCACTGTCCTGATTCACTATGGAAGCATTTTCCATTTTCCATTGCTCTTCCGTTAAATATCCAAAGGGAGAATTTTCTGCTTACAGAAAAAGTAATTTCACAGATGACCACAATTGCTGAGGGCCAGATTAAAAAAATTATCTTCTCCTCCCTTTCTCCAAAATTTCCTGTCTTTTTTCATTAGCCATACGCAGCAAGAGATGAAGCAAGCTGTATGAAACTTTGTAATTGGTATCTCCCACTGAGGCCACATTAATATGTCATTAGACTAATATCTTTTACTGACACGCTGATACAGTTTTCAGAACAGATCTGGAAACTTGACAATCTGGATATTGTATTTTAAAAGACTAAAATTACTTATAAATGTTTTATTTTAAAATATCCTGATTTGCAGGGTGCCTTAAAATCTGGCTGAGAGCCTCTCATGTTATCACATCACTACAGAGAGCAGGTTCCAAAGCTACATGTGGAGCTGTGGGGCTCTCAGAAGTCCAAGCAAAAACAGTGCAAAGGTCTTGCACTCCAAGCCCTAGAAGGGAGTGCCCTGCATTCCCTGCAAGTGGGGTGTCTGCAGCACACACTGCATGGGGCAGACACTGCTTTCCTTGCATGGGGGCTTGCAGCCAGAAATATTTCACTTTCTGCTTAAAGTCATCAGGTAGCACACACTCCTCTATGAGGACAAAACCCAAAATTCAATCACCTTGTGTTAGTCCTTCTACCAGAAAGTGGACCAGAGTGTAGGGTGAGAACTGTGACTGTGTTGGATTGCTTTCTAGCAGAGGAATACTTGCTTTAAGTCCTATATTAGTCAGAAAGGGTCTCAGAGCAGGAATGTCAAGGGTTATGTGTCGTGCTCATTTTTCATCAACAAATCTGAATGGGAAAATTGGAAAATTGGGGTAGATTTCTGTCTTTTGTTTTTGGGTTTGGTTTTGTTTTAATTTTTTTTTTTTCTTTTGGATGAAGGGCAGATGAAGAGCCTCTGTTACAGTGAACTCAGAGGAGAGACACTGTCTTCATTGTCTTGAAAAGATAAAACCAGAGAGAAGTACAAAGAGAGTTTGAAGAGCCCTGTGGTCCCAAAGGGCTGCCTGCCCCTTCTTTTAGCAGCTTTCAAGGTGAGTCCTGTTTGATTTCTTTTGGCATATCTTTATGCTGAAGAGCTGTGTCTCTGAGCTGCATTTAGCAGAGTGTGAGCACATGGAAGTTGCCTTTGGTACTTTACATATCTGTGTCTCCTTTCATCCCAGATTCTGTTAGTAAGATAAAAGGTCCTTGTAGGAGTTGATGCAGGATTAGGGCATATAGTGAGAATGGCACAGAGATCAGAAGCAGAGCTCTTTCAAAGCTAAATGGGCCACAGCAAAGACTACAAGCTAAACAAAACACAGGACTCGATCTAAAACATGTTAGTGGTCTCTCTCCTTTAAACTATGTCGATCTTCCCTGCTGCAACTGTGGCACTGTTTAGTTTTTTCCAGTGAGAATTAGAATGAGAATAAAAAAAATCTATTTAACGTGTTTAAGGAAGTGAATCCTACACCTGAAATAAATATGTTTTCATGAAGATTAACATAGCCTTGTTCTGAGAAGTGGATTGGATGAACAGAAAACAGATTGAGAATGCAGATACACTCTATGCCACTCATGAAATTTTATCCAGAGAGCTGCAGCCTGAAAATATTCACATAACTTCAAATTTCTGTTCCAGATTGTCATGAAGTATAAAGAGACTATTAGGGGACTGTTAAAATATTTGATTCCAGAAGGAAAATTGGGCATTTCAGAGATTAAAATTTACTGTACGTAATATCTTTCAGATAATTATCAAATCATTAATTCCAAAGTTCTTTGACCTGAATTTAGTTCTACAGCATGCATTAGGATTCATTCATTATAAACTAGTTGAGGAACAATTAATTGGTATTTGAAGATATGAATTTTTTTGCTGTTGTTTAAATTCAGTTATTTTGTCCTATAATAGATAAGAGGCAAAGATTATTGCTTTTTAATGTTTTCTATAAATAAGTTACAAAATTAATTGCTGGCTACACTGTAAATAAGATGTCAATTACAAACCTTATTTTTGGAGGGTTATAAATCAGTTATACAAGTTCTCCCCAAACGCAATAAATTAATTAGCAGACATTGTCTTAGCAGACAAGCATGTTTATTTGCATCTTTAATGTTCTCAGGAGTCTTAATCATTTAGCATTTTCTATGTGCCTTGAGATCCTTGAAGGATGGACACGGAAAAATGTGACGTTTTATTAATATTCTCTTTCATTCATTCATTCATTTTAACTATATATGCCATGAGGCTATTTCAGCCAGTTGTGTGTGCTAGATCCCACAGTGTATCTATTAGCAAATGTCTTATGGAAATTATTAAAGAATCATTTGAGAGAAGGTGATCGCTTAATTTGAGAAGCAGAAAAGGTAAAATTGTCCCTTCAAGGAGAAAGATGAGCCACTGGTTCTTGGAGGACATAAAAACTGAAAGAATTTCTGTTATACACACCATAAACTTGAAAAGCCTGGTTAAAAACATATTCACATAAAGGTAACACTCTGTGTTTATAGATACCTCAGAGACAAATATAAACACACCCAAATGGAAACAACACACCTATAAATAGGGTCCATCATTTAGTGGTCATTTTGAATCACTGGATTAAACTACTCAAGGATATGCCAGTTCATATCATAACTGAGCTGCTAAATGGGGCTGTTAGTCCCTTCTTCCTCTCCTCTGCCTCCATCTGTGCTCACAGGCTTACTGTTAGTTAGCCTTGGGCTGGGCTTGACGTGCTCATTCCTGAAGTGCTGTGGGCTGGTTCGGGAACTAAAGACACTAATCAGACTTTTTTTGGAGGGGAAGGTTAATTTTCCACAGGTTTAGATACCTGAACCACCCCACAATGGGTCCAGACAAGCACTGAAGCAGTCAGATGAACGGGAGAGGTGTGAAAGGACATCAGCTGAGTTCTAAAATCAGATTTTACTATGGATTGAGACTTGTCCCTCTGCATTTGGTGGTGGGAGCCAGACCTTTCCAAAATGTAGGGTGCTCTCAGACTGTGTGCAAATCCCCTTCTTCAGTGACTACAGATGAAGGATAAGGTGAAAACACTTCTTTAAAACTTTAGGCCTAAAGTTAGATCATTCTAATTTAGGATAAACAAAATCTTGATTAAATGAAGAATACGTATTTTCATGGGGTTTTAGGATTCAAGTTAAAGAGGAATATGGCCATTTCTCTTGGGTTTTAAAGCAAAAAAAAAAAATTTAAATGTTCATCAAGTTTTCTTTGAAAGCTATTTAAACATCTGAATAAAAGGAAGATGTATTGTTATTTAGAGCTCCTTGGAAAATCTCCAAACTTTAATTGCACTTCACTTTCATTTCAGCTAGAATGAATCTGAATGAAAGTGTTTCTGTCCTGTAGTGCTCTTTCATTTCCCATCTTAGTTCCTGCAAAAATAATGCTCTGCTGAAGCCAAGCTCAGCCAGGGCTGTAGATTTAGACATCTCTTTTGGCTCCTGGCTGGTTTTCTCTTGTTTTGAGACTAAATTAAAAGCACATTTGAAAGTAGCAATGTCAATTTTCCTAATTATCTGAAACATGGTGACTCTAAATACTACACTACCTATTAAACAAGTACATTCAAGAATGTTCAGTAGATGATATGCATCCAAATTGGCTTTTTACAGTGAATCCAGTGGTTTTCTCTGAAATTGTCAGGCCAGATGATGTGTGCACACTGGGTGCAACATGAGGTTTATGGGTATGTTGGACTTATGTTTGTGAACATTCACAGAAAACTGACCTTGTTTCCTGAGAACTTGCTGAACATGTTCTCTGGAGTGTCTGTGCAAATGCTACCAGAGTCAAAGAAAAAAGTGAGCTGAAAGGCAAGATAGCTCTGGAGAAACCCAGGTCTGGTTATCTTTTATGTGGGTAATGAGAGGAGGACTCTTTCTCTGCCCTGTGTCTAAGCACACTTGCTGAGGTCTGTGCAGTGCACTTTAAACTCAGCCATCAGCTTTCCCACGGACACTTCTTAATTATATACACCTATGCACTGAGCTCTACATGTATTTTCATACAGTATCAGGAATTCCTCATCAGCTGAGTGAGGATATGATGAGCCAGGTTGTTTAGTACCAGCAGGCCACTCAAACTTTGGCTTACTTTTAAACAGACCTTAGGAAATTTGGGAACAAACTCTGGAGTTGGAGTCCGTGTACTTTGTTATACTGGATCTTTAATGTAGGTAAAAATTGCAAAACAGGAGAAAATTAGGCATATCTATAGCTGTCATTTTAACTCATATAAAGAACACAAAGAAGGACTTATAAAGAATGAGATCCTATTTTCTCCAGTAGTCTCTAATCGCAGTTATACTGCATTTGAATTTCACACACTTAAATAATTTTAGAAGTTTTAAAATCAAATAAAGAAACTTATAAAAAATCCACAATGGAAACTTTTGGAATTTTCAAAAGCATAATCTTTTCTGTATCAGTAATAATTCAGTGATAATATCAGTAATAATCAGTATTCTACATGCCTGCTTTTAAAAGGGAACAGTATAATAAGTTATTGTTTAAGTTATAGGTAGTATGCATTTGTACTGACAGTAGCCAGTCAACCAAATAGAAATGAGTCGATTCTTGTACTTTTTTTCTTCTGTCAATGTCCAGTAACAAATCTTACATAATTTTGCATGCTGGTGTGAGGTTGTACATGTACTTATTTCATATGTGTGGAAAATGAATGTAGGGAATAGTTCCCATTCCTTTCCAGGCAATGTTAATGCATAGAGAGTTTGCAAGAAAACTGGACATTTCCATAGGACTTACCTTCAGAGAGGAAGGAGCAATCTCTGCTCACTGTCCTCTAATGATCTGATATTGTCCAGTGCTAGCTGGCCTGGCTGTTGTTGGTTATGTTTTTGAACATGTGGACTTAATCTGCTCAGAGAAGTTTTCTGTGTGTTTTCATTGTGAGGAAGATGGAGTCTGCACTATTGACAAGCTGTAGGATTTGAGATTATCATTTTGGTGAGTTTTAGCTTCTATTTTCAGTATTATTGTTCAAGGTATTCTCACACATGTGAGGAAGTGTTTATGCTATTGGACTTTAAATACTGTGTACAGTTCTCTGCTAACCTTATCAGGAAAATGGTGCATGGAATAAAGAATAGCTGCAGGGATTTGGAAGCATGACCTATGAAAAAAAAGCTGAAAGCTTCTTTGCATTAGCAAAACAAAAGCTGAAGGGGCTTAGACTGCTCTTCCTGACAGCCATGAGGGTTGAACCTGAGGCTGCTCATGAAATTCAATATACACATCTTTGCATTGAGGTGCTGTGAGCCTACAGACCAGATTTGTTCTGTGAAACTTAATTTCGGAATTTGCTAATTACAGATTGAAAAAAGAGTCTCTAATATGCATTTATATTGCCAGATATTTCAGAGATATTAGTGAATTCTTGAATTAAGAAATGTCTTCCATATGCCTCACAAAGTTTAAATCTAAATGCATAAACTGTCAATGTATATAGATTAAACAGATGTATTTTGATTTTCATTATGCAGTTGTTTCTCTAGGACTTTTTTTTCTAATTCTGCTTGCTTCAAAACTAGTACTCTCATTCTTGATTTAGCATTCCTAAACTTGATCACTGTTAAAACTTAGTTATAAATGATATAGATTTGCTGATTTTTTACATAAAAGATACTTTTTTAACCCATGTAACACCTTATATTTTCATCATCTGTAAATGAAGTAAATTCATCTTTTTGCAAAATTTAAATGCAAGGCTACAAAGCTTTTATAAGCTGTGAATGCATTGTTCAGTTCATCTACATGCAGAGCTGGTAGTGGTAGTGGTATTCAAGAAGCATATGCGTGGGCTAATTGGATTTTCCATTTTACATTACTTCTTTGTTGAATATGTGCAGGCTTAAAAGATTCAGGGTAATAAAACCAGCATAATGCTACATGTATATGATTACCTCTGTCTTGTCAATGACTTAATCTCAGAGTTAATGTCATTTATTTTTCAGATGTGAGAATGAGTCATCATCTATCAAAATATTAAACTGATTCT